AAAAGCAAGAGGGGACCCGGGAGCCACCTGCTCCCCTGCGGCTCCCAGCCCCGCCCCAGCCCTGGTGGAGGCCATGCCTTGCTCCACAACTGCCTCAGCATCTGAGGTGGGGCTGGGCCTGCCTCTGGCAGGACAGGACTGGGACCCGAGATCATTTGAGCACAGTGGGTTGGAGGCACCCAGGCCACTGGAGGAAGCAGTCTGGTGGCCAGAGCCAGGGCCTGAGCTCAGGTGGCAGAGGATCTCTGCCTGGTTGAAGCCCTGGTGGAGGCCATGCCTTGCTCCACAACTGCCTCAGCATCTGAGGTGGGGCTGGGCCTGCCTCTGGCAGGACAGGACTGGGACCCGAGATCATTTGAGCACAGTGGGTTGGAGGCACCCAGGCCACTGGAGGAAGCAGTCTGGTGGCCAGAGCCAGGGCCTGAGCTCAGGTGGCAGAGGATCTCTGCCTGGTTGACCTCAGAGAGGGGACAGGAGCTCGCTGGGGCCAGGCTGTGCCCAAGGGGTGCAGGGGCCTGAAGCAGCCCAGCCCTGGGGTTTCTTAATGAGCACTCGCTTCCGGTAGAGACCTCTGCTGGGCCACCTGAGCCAGTGGGAGCAGTGACTCCTGCCCAGGCCCACAAGGACGCAGTGCTGTCACAGCTCGGTGTCCTCGCCCTGCAAGACAGCCCTCCCAGGACGAGGTGCGGCCAGGGCTTTGGTCCTGGCTGAACGGATAGGTGCCTTCTTTGGGGTGGATCACTTGTACCCAGATTGGGAGCTGGGTGGGGTGTGCTGAGGCCCAGGGGCTCACTAGGAGGGTGCTCTGGGCAGGTGTGATTGGGAACCTCATCCCCGCGAGGCAGGGCTCAGGGCGGGAAGTGTCTGGCTAAGCTGCCCTCTGGTCAGTTGTCAACACAAAGGGGGACCCACCAAGGGGCCGGAGTCCCAGGCTGGCACGTCTGGGTGCCTGTGGTCACCAAGCAGAGGCCAGCTGAGGTGTGGTGGGCTGTGCCCCATGTCCTGGGGAAGGGGAGGGGTCACCAGGACTGCTGTGCTCAGCAGTCCCCCCATAGCTGCATGAAGGGAGGGCTGGGTCCAGGTGCAGGGTGCCGAAAAGTGGCCCTGCCAAGCTCTGGCCCTGCTCTGGCTTGGGGTCCCTTGGTCCTGGGTCAGACCAGGGTTGCCCTCCAAGCCAGGTCAGGGATCCTGGGCTTTGGGTGCTGCCAGAGGCCACGGGACCCTGAAAGCATCAGGACCCGCCCCGGTCTCCACCTGCCCTGCAATGGGTGTGGAGCAGGAGGGGCCAGGGCTAGGGCCTGGAGACCTCAGACTGAAGGGGTCATGTGCATGCCCCACCAGGTTCACTAGAGGCCCCTAGAGGGGTCTCCCCAGGGCTCCCAGCCCTTCTCTCCATCCTCCAGCAAGGCCCCCCTTTATCCCAGGGAGAAGGTGGGCATCCCTGCCAAGCCCCCTGAATTCATTGGCCGCGAGGCAGGATGGGCTCTCTCCGCTCTCTGCTGGGTGCGTTTCCTTGCTGGGCCAGAGCAGCAGGGAGCCTGCAGTGGGCACAGAGCATGGACCAGCGAAGGCAGGAGGCCAAGCAGTCCTGCTCGCCAGCAGGTGGGGTTGGAACAGGCCTGCGGGGGGCCTGGGGCGCACAGAACCCACGCCGTCCTGACTGTGCAGGCCAGGTCGGAGGTAGCCCTCAGCGTCCATCAAAGGGGCACACACTGTTCAGTGACACGTATGTTCACACCCGTGTGGCCTGGGGAGTGCGTTCTGCCTGGGTGCGTGTGTGCGTGTGTGCTCCTGAGCAGGACTGGCCTCCGCAGAGCCAGGCGCCCACATACGGGTGTCCTGCCTTTCCGCCCCCACGTGACGTGGCTGCGCCTCACGGTGACTCACCCTCCCTCTCTGTAGGGCGCAGCTGCTCGTGGGGGAGGCTCCTGTGACTCAGCGCCTCCCCCAGGCGGGGTCTGCTCCCCCCCAGGGCGGGGGAAGGCGCTGGCGGCCGCGGGGCGGGAGCCGGACCCGGAGCCAGAGCAGGGCAAGAGCCAGGGCGGCCCTGCAGCGACGAGGTGCGCCGCACAGGCATGTCAGGTGCAAGTGACACGACGGGACGGGGGGCGGCCTAGGAGCACCCGGGCCGCAGGGCCGCCGCCAGGGTCTCCAGGCGCCGGCACAGGCAGGCGCCGGCACAGGCCGCCAGCCCAGCCGCGAGGGCCGCTCCCCTGGGCTTTGGCGACGCCGCTGCTTGAGTGTCCCCCTTGCGGGGCTCATCTTTCTCTGCGCCCATCGCCAGCAGGGTTCTGCCTGGGGGCCGGTGTGCGGGTCCAGCGCGGGTGACAGAGCTGTGGGGGGGCAGGGAGGGGAGCTGCCTCAGGCCGATACGGGTGTGGGGGGGTTGTCGGTAGTGTTTGAGGTGACCTGGGAGCTGGCCAGGAGGCTAGGGGGCTGCCGGAGGAAGGACCCACCTGGTGGGTGCATCCCCGGGTCAGTGCGGGGAGCAGGTGCTAGTCTTCGGCCTGAAGACTCTGCTGGGGCTGCCTCAGGCCTGGGGTGGGTCTGAGGACTCCCCACTGACCTCCCGCCCCCATGCCCTGGCCCAGTCTCTGGGACAGTCTGTGTCCATCCCCACCAACGTGGTTGCCAGGACCTGGCACCTCGCTGGGTGTCCCAGGAGGCCCTGGGCCCTGATGGTAGGTTAGCTGCATCCTGGGGTTGAGGAGAGAGTGGGACCATCCTGTGATCTTTGCCAAGGTCACACCAGGGTGCCTGTGTGCCAGCTGGCCTGTGCCAGCTGCCCTGGGGCGTCCAGCTCTTGGGAGGCTGCATGGACCCTGCCCCTACCCCCTGTCCTGTGTCATTCCGTGGTGGCCCAAGGAAAAGGAAGGCAGCTGCAGGGGTGGGGCAGCAGCTTTGCCCAGGACTAGGAAGCTTCGACCTGCCCACCTCAGGGCCTCACTGGCCCTGGCCTGGAGGCAGGGTCTGGCAGAGTGGGCCAGGCTGCTGGCACAGGTGGCCAGCCCAGCCAGGTGGAAGCTCCTGCTCCCCTGCAGGGCTTCGGCATGAGGCTGCTGCTCCAGAATGCTCACCTTGCCAGACTCGTCCTTCCCTGCGCCCCATCCGCCCGCTGTCCTCTCTGATCACTGTCCCCAAACTCCTGTAGACATTGCTCACAGCCCCTGTGGTCCCCACCCTACTGTGCCCAGCCCATGGGGATGGGGCCAAGCCCGGGCCCTCTGAGGAAGCCTCCTGGGTCTGGGGTCTCACTGGGCTCTGGCCCTAGCAGGTCACATGTTGCCCACTGTCCCTCTCCCCTCATGTGGACCTCCCTTCTGGCCAGCATCTGGGAGCTCCCAACAGATGGGATCCCACCCGGAGATCCCCTCCCTAGTGGCCACGGGGGTGAACACATCTGTTTGGGAGCGGGTGTGGCATGTGTGAAGCATGTGTGAGGTGGAGAGCGCTGGTGGGAAGGAAGGGAGGTGCGAGTTGACTGGTCAGAAGGCCTTCCTGAGGGGGGCTGAGGACATGGCAGGGTGGGCCAGGCCTGGAGTTGAGAGCAGAAGGCCCTGCTTGAGGCCCACTTGGGGCCCCATGAGGCTGACTGCTGCAGAGGCTGGGGGCTGCATGGTTGGCCTGGGACTCCAGGGCTGTGCAAGGCGGCTGGAGGGTCGGAGGGGCATGCACTCTGCTACCAGGAGGCCCGGGACAGGGCCCAGCGCCTATCTTCTTTCAGAGGCTAAATTTTCAATAAAAATAAAATTCCTCTTAAACTAACACTCTGACTCATGTTAAACATTTCTCAGAGAACTAAATGGGAATCTATTAGAATCTATAAAAGGTATTTTTAAACAGCTTCATTGGAGTGTGATTTACATACCATAAAATTCACCCACTTTCAGCAGTGTCAGCGATCCACCCACAATTGGATGACTCGCATCAGTTTACCGAGCCGCACAGCACCCACCACCCATGTGAGGCAGCTCCACCCCGCAGGACCGGCACCACCTGCAGCCGCCGGTCTTCCCACCCCACCCT